CCGGGGTTCATGACAAGGCTAATGATGAGAAAGCGCTGAATGGGCTGGTGCACCTGCACCGCTTTTCCAGTACGATCAGTGTCTTGGATCGGGCTTTCTTCGAAACTGACGCTTATGCACCTTGGCAATCTTTCAGTGGCGCAGGCTACTCAGGGTGGCCCACGCACGGCTGAGGGTTGAATGCGGTTTTTTGGCGAATAACAATGCGTAAGATTGTAAACAGGCAATAGGTTTCGCCCGGCGCTTTGTCAGGAGCTTGCTATGGGGATCCTGATTCTCATCAGCGTGGCCGTGCTGGCGTTGGAAATGCAGCTGATGGGTTTGCAGTGGCTGGGCGTGTCGGCTGGGTTTTTCTAAAGGGGCAAGCCCAGGGGGCACAAAATTGCTAGCGCCCTGTGTTTTCCATGTCTGAATTCCAAATAGAGTAAGGGTTCTGAAGGGCGGTGCCCCACGTTGTTTCCATGCTGTGAGCAATGCTGGCCCGCTCTGTCCTATAGGTTTTTTTCAACGTAGCAAATTTTATCCGCCCATCGGGCTTACAAAACCTTTCCTGGCCAAGGGGCGGCAGCTTAAAGGGACAGGCTCTGACACTTCGATCTGCTATGGCTGGTGGTTTATCTCGAACCCTTGCTACCCCACGCCCCCATGCACGAACCGCAGCAGCAGCAGCAGCAACAACAACAACAACAACAAGAAGCGGAACCAGAACCAGAACCAAAACCACAGCGACAGCGACACCAACAGCAACAGCAACAGCAAGAGCAATAGCTGCCGCCGCCACCACCACCGACAACGTGAGCGTCATCAGCAGCCACAGCAACATGAACTTCTTCATTCGAAGGAAACGTAGGAGCGGGTTCACGCTCAGTACAAACCACAATCTCACCCCCGGGAAACAATTCAATACAGCGGCAGCAAACTTTGACCGCGGTGCCGCAACATCCCCTGCCTAAGGCGCGAAAACTTCTTTTCCCTTGGATTGAGAGCGCCTTTCCTTGGGCCCATCTTCTGTTGAGGGTGCCGGTTGCAGTCCCATGGCCGAGGATTGGCCACGATATGGGCTACCCAAACATCACGAGGCCTCCAAATTCATGGAACACCGCACTGGTGCCTTGGCAAAGACAATGCAGTTGTAAAACCGGCCGCGGCATGAGTGAATGAAGTCCGGGTGTGAGCGACGCAAAGAAATTCAAAAAGGGGTTGGCAATCATGATGTGTTGAGCTGGTTTGCTTGGATACAGGGATATCAATTGCCAGAAATCAGTTTGCATGTTTGGTTTGCCAGCCTCTTGCAGGAAGTCTTGAGATGGACAGATCGGCGCTCTGGAATGCATTTTTGCGTGGGCTGGGCGGTAGATTGTGCTCAAGTTATCAAGTGCAGGTGGATTGTCAAAGGCTAGGCGGTTTTTTCCAAGGCGCCTTTTCGTAGCTTTTTTTCACGTTCTGATGGGAATCAACCCGGGCCAGCCTGCGGGTGCGGCCCTGATACAGCATCTGAACTCCCGCGCTCCCACGGCACCGTCAGCACAAATTGCGCAATCAGCAACAGGTTTTTGGGGTGCCTTTGCGGCTTGACCCAATCCTAAATTTCACTATTGGATTCCAACCGTTGCAAGAAGGGTTTTTACAACCCATACTTTCTGCTGCTCGAAAACGATTTCCAAAGCCAGGACTTTCACCAGTATTTTTGTCTTGGACATTCTGCTGCGCTTGGCTTTCCTGCGGCTTCGTTTTTTCTGCCAACGGCTGCTTGGATGAGAGCCATTCCTGTTGGTGGGCTGGGGCTTCCTTTGCCAGGCTTTTTACATGTAGCGGCTCCGGCCAAACTCAAGCGGCTTCATTGGCCAGGGCGCAGTACAAAAGGGGCAGGGGCACTAACAAGCACATGTCGTGACCTACAGACTGGGCCGGCACTCCAAATGTTTCATTTTGTCGCCAAAATTGGTTGACGGGCTTGTTTTCGAGGATTGCCCTCATCAGGCTTTGGCCGGTTTTGCGCTGAGGTTGAATTTGCTAGACTTTGTGGTGGTTTTCAGCAGCCTGCTTGAGGCCCAGTCCGCCTAGATGCATCACCGGGTTGTTCAGGGGCTGTGTCTTCGCCGGGCGGCGACAAATTACCGATGCAAATCTTTGGTTGCTAAAGCCGTCACAAAGCTGCTACAGCATCTGCCAGGAGCTTTTCGACGACTCTTTTCCAGTGGACGCGCCATTTCTGAGATTGCTGCGGTTTGCCAAAGTGGCGCGGTCTTTGAGGATCTTACAAAGCCACTTGTCTTGGCATGCGACATCATGCTTTCATTTTTAGCCAGCGGGCGGAATCCGCCCCATTGTTTTGCTGTTTTTTTGTGATGGTGTTTCGGCTGTTGGTTTTTTTGGGCGGGGTGAAGGGTTTTTGCGGGGACGGTGAGGTAGCTATCCCCCAATTTAGGGCCCTGGATCTTCGCTAGAAAGTTATGAACGCTTGTAGAACACACCGGTCGGAGCACAACACCTTTTTCTGCAACTACGCAAGCAAGCAGTCTTGAGCCACGGAGTGGCACAGCGGTAGAAATGCACAACTGCAAATGCATTGTGTAGGCGCGTCCAAAAATAGATCACAAACATAGACAGACACAAATTTTCTTCGTGCCGGAATGGGCAGGCGGCACGAAGCTTTTTGGCCTTGCATGAGGAACGCTCGGCTGTTGCTCTGCTGGCAAACGGTGTCGCTAGGGATAACGTCGGAAAGCTATAGTTTTGACCGTAGCGCGCCCAACTTGGAACTTGCACAATAAAATTTTGATGGCAGAGCACGTCGCCTTATATCGGCTTTTCTCGTTTTTGATTTCAAAGAAAACTGCCGCAAATCGGCTTTACTTCTGGCGCAGCCCAGAGGCCCATAAGGAAAGTGCAGCCGTACAGCCATAGCTCATACTGTCTTCGTTGCCAGGAGGTGAAAATATATGCTATCCTCTGGACGCTGCGGGATCATGTCCAACCATGTTCTGCTATCGTTCCTCCACCATCTTTGGTACAGGACAGTGCATCCCTAGACCTATTCTACGCTCTTGTTTCGGTTCCATCTGTAATATGCGCGTATCCTTTTCCTTGATGCTGATATCCTTTGTCTTGATAGTTTTCTCCTTTTCCTTGACCGTACTTTCGGTTCGTATCTTGGCCGTCAACTGTTCTGCTTCGGGTTTGGCGTTCTTGAGGTGCTGTAAGTCTTTCACCTCCTCGTCGGCCGGGCGTCAGCTCATGATGATCTCAAGAGGATGCGCGTGGAGTGCGAAGCCGCGGTGGATGACTTGGCGAGTGTGGAGCAGGGGCCGATGCTCGTGCTGATCCTTCTCTGCTTCCTCTTCCTCGGCGGTATTTCGGCTCACAATTCTTTCTCGGCCGAATGGCCTTGAGGATGAGGCAGATTCTCCTGTGTCTTGGACGTCTCTGAAGTTAACACGTGCCAATGGTGCGACTAAGTCTTGCCTATCTCGCCTTTCTTTATGTATTCCTCACCTTAGTCTGCCACTTGCCTCTTCGCCGGTTTCCGGCAGCCATAGATCGGACACGGTAATTCTCCAGTGGTCGCAGGGTGGCAAATGTCAGTAAAGGAGACTGGTAAAACTGGTCTCGGTCATTTAAGCCAAGGTCATACACCCAAAGGTGTTTTGGCCGCCCAAAAACATTCAAGATGATGCCGCCATCAACTTCAGATCCTACGAAACCATCTGCAGAAGCGGCTTGTTTTGATCCGTCTTTTTTCATGATGGTCTGCTTGGCGTAACAAAGCGCGATGTTCAGCGTGCAATCGCAATCCGCACTGATACCCTGCTGGGCCTTGATATATGCACCGGCTTGCGTTGATGAAACTATGTTGTGGGTTGTAGGTGATGCAGTTGGGTGCCGAACAGCTTTCGTTTATGTGGCTTAAAATCGCTCAAGAAGATCAATGAGGATGCACGTCCGGAAATTGGAATGCGTGTCCATCTTTGAGTTTCATTGGGCAAACAGGTTACCGTCTCCTCGGATGAAATTTACTTGATGGGCAATACATTCTGAGATGAAATTGTCGAAGGTATCTGCGCCGGATGCCAGCTTCAGCTAGTCTGCTGGCTCAACATCGCAATTTGCACTGAATTTCAATGACGTGCCAGCTGGCATCATCCCATGTGCTTGCCAACGGAGCCGGATGCGGCTTAACACGATTGGCAGGATTTGGAATGGCATTTGGATTCTTTGCCCGAATTCCAGCATCTGGGCCGATCATTTCACCGGAAGTGTTTTCGCCAAAAGCTGTCCGGAACGTGCTGATGCTGATGTCCGGTGATACTACCAATGGTGCCGTTCGCTTCACATAGGGTCATTACATGAGCACCATTCTTGGACACAATTATATCCTTCCTCATCCCAGATGGAAACTTCTTATTACTTCAGCAATCTGTCTTTTCCGCTCGTCAACATAAGTGTCTTCTTCATTTCGAGGACGTCGAAGCGGGCGGTCGTTAGGAGTTGGGCCGGATTTCGGCGCTCTCCACTTGGGACTGCGTTGCGTTTTGAACATTGTGATAGATGCAGAAATCTTTTCGGGATCGATCAAAATTGCAGTCACATGCTGAACGTACTTTGAACGAGGCCAAACCGTGTTTCGGTTTTTGTTTTTCGTTGAACTTCTCCCAGTAATATTGGTGGTGCAGAATGTGCAACATGTTATGACGATCTGAGGTGTAGTCGGTCATCTCGTTGTGCTGTTCCTGTGTGAATTTTGTGAGCTGCCACCACCCACACGTGATGGAGCTGCTGTGTAGCCCCTGAAAAGGAGGCCAAAGCTGCCGCAGCGAGTCACAGCAAAAACCATGACAAGCGAGTCAAAAGCAACACATCTCAGCAGAGGAGAAATGAAATGCACTTCTGTCACCGTAGCACACAGCTGTCCAAAGAGAACCCTGCAAGTGGCACACAGCCACAAAAATAAAAAAATGCCAGAATTCCGTGCATGCAAAGGGTGGCACACGGCCACCGGCTCAAACTGCATTGGCGCGGCCATGAAAGCCGCATCGATCATGGCACGTCTCACGTGAAGGCCATCCCAATCGTCTCTGCGACAAATCATGACACTCAGGTGGCCGAGACCGGCTGAAGAAACTGCAGACCCAAACCACATGTTCCCAATCAGGAACAACATTCTCCAAACAAGAAGGGCATCGCTGTGCCACCGGCCGGTGGCGCAGCACATCATAGACCGCTGGGCTCAAAGCAGCACCCAATAGCACAGCACGCATATGCGCCGTGCCAGTATCATGGAACTTGCGCGCTGCAATTGCGCGCTCGGCATTGAATCTGCAGTTTGCACTCAAGAAACGGCTGTCACGGCGCTGACGTGCAAGAAACTGATCAAAAAGCATTTTCCTGAACACATCTCTCACCTGATGGCACAAATGTCCCAACTGCAGAAGGATCACCTCATAATCGTGATGATTGAAGTCAAAACGAAGTCCACCTGAAGTCCATGCAAGAGGCCCGATCTGTTGAATGCCAAAATGACTGAGAAACTGTTGAACCCTGAGGTGCCAAGTTCCTGAAGAAATGATAATGCCCTGCTTGCGCCAGTAGTAAGCAGCACGAATGAAAGCCTTGACAGCCTGGTGGCCACTTTCAAACCAAGGATCCGTCCAGTGCCCCTCAAGCAGAATCCAAAGTGCCCTTGAAGCCATCGTGTTGATCCAACAAACACCCTTCTTGATGCGCATCGTCCATTTTGCACACACTGCGCGTTGCGGCTGCACCAACCACCAACCCCAGGACAGTAAACAAGCACCACGAGATCTGTAGAGCGACCGCTTGAGATCTGCAGCAACAGGCATGGTCTGCAAACGGTACAAAATCCTCTATGCCTTTCTCACCCGTTTCATGATGGTGGGATTTTCATGTTCTCCAAAGCCAACCCCAAGGACACGAGTTGATGAAACAATGCTCCGCTGTTCAAAACCGAGTTGTTGAAGGGCCAGTGATTTCCCCTGGTCAAGACACACAATCTTCATTTTGTCTGAATTTGCAGCCAAACCAAGCCTGTCACACCAAGTTCGCCACCGCTGGCATGCTCTGTGCAGATTCTGTGGAGTGTCAGTGGCAAAACTGCGGTCATCGACAAATACAGCTTGCTGGAATAAGCCATTGGCACGACAGAAAGTCGTGACATCACGTTCAGCTTCCATGAGCAACACAACCATGGCCAAAGGCGCCATAGCGCAGCCCTGCGGCACCGAAGTTTCCACCAGCTCCGGTTCCGCATTGGTGTAATTCAACATTTGCATCCAACGCCATTGCTTGCTCCACATATGCTGTAAGTGATTAGCCCATTGTTCGTGAAAACCACTGCGACGAAGTAAACCTATTGCCAAAGTAGGGTACATATGGTCAAATGCTTTCGCCAGGTCCAAACTGCATAACAAGCGGTTGTGCTTAAAAGTTTGGTCCAAAATGGCAATAGCAGCTTCAATGCTACGCCCACGAAGAGCGCCGTGAACGTCAGGAGACACCAATCTCAAAACCCAATCCTGAGCTTTCTTAGCCATCACCGAGGAAATAAGTTCGCAAATCAAGGGCTGAATGCAAATCGGTCTCATTGCAGAGACCTTGACTGATCCATGTTGCAAACCATCCTTCGGAAGCATAACCAAACGACAATGTTGCCAAGAGTCCGGAAATTCATTGCGCGTGCACCAATCATGCCATAATTCCAACAAAATACACCAGGCCTTCTCAGGCCACCACCGCATTTCAGTACATCCCCAACCATCACAACCAGGAGCACCTGAATTTTGACGATCGGTTGCAAGCGCCAGTCAGAGTCCATGGGTTGACCTGCAGGTCGGGTCAACTGTCCTTGCTTGAGTCTATTGAACTCTTCCGTGTCCACATTGCGATGCCAAATGTTCCGCCAGTACTTGGTGATTGCATCAAAAGTATCCTTGAGGTCTGTCGTTGCATAAAAAGTTCCATCTGGTGCAGGGACTTGCACTGAGTTGGGCTGCATCGCTGATGTTTTGTTGAGCCACCGTGTATCTTCTTTGCCCTGTTGGTAAATGCTTTGCCTCCGCCGAGCTATTGCTTCTTGCTTTTTTTTCTCTTTTGAGATCACGTTCCATTGTGTCATGCAGAGTCGTCAGCGCCGCGTTGACATCGGTAGGAGGAGGACCATGTAAACACCAGCTCCTGCAGACTTTCGTCCAGATGTCAGAAAACGGTTTCCGGCGGCGGTGGCGGTGCGCGCGTTCATTGAGTTTTCCAACCAGGTTTCGCATCCGTCGGATGCGGGTGGATCTTGCTGAGGAGGCACGGGTGGTGCCTGTACCTTTGTCCAAGAGCTGAGGGCTTGGCTTGTTCCCTTGTTCCTTCTCCAACACTGTCGGTGATTTCCCCCAAATTGCAAAAACACTCTCTTGTGGATGTTCTCCGCTGTCTCACAAAACCAATGCCAAGCTGTGTTTGCATTTCCACTTGTGTTTGGGATTTGCACATGCTGCGATTCTGCGTTTGGAGTAGTTCAAGGCCGGCTTCATACCAGCCAAATGCACAAAAGGAGAGAAACATTGCCATGTGCAAGAAACCATCTTGTGGTCGCTGCACTTGTAGCTGTCCTGCGAAACTTCGAAATCCGGATTGCGCTCAGCCAACAAATAGTCTATGCATCGCAAGTTTTCTGTACTGTCCAAGTTCGACCAACGTGTGGGAAGTAGCTCCCCAAATTCATCAGTTGCTGCCACCAAAGCAGTTCCAGGGTCCAGAAGAGGATTCTGATGGGAAGGAGATTCCAATCGCCAACCATGACCCAGGGGATATTCTGAATATGCGCCAAACATTGAGCATCCAAAATGCATTGTGCCAGTTCGCTGTCAGCCGTGAGCCCATTCCTAGCCCATGCAAAACCCAGAATGCAATGCTGAAGATCCAGAATAATGAGGGAGCCGTCCTCTCCTTGCAGTTCGTCAAAATGAAAACCTTTTCTGTTGGCTCTCACGGCTGCTATGATGCCACCGGAGTAGTTTGTCCGGCCGCGAATGTCCCTGTGCTCAGTTGCTGCAATGCTCCAAACCCGAAAGCCTTCCGCTTGCAGTTTAGCGGCCACCTTGCTGCATTGCCAGGTGTTCGTATGCGTTTCCACCAAGCCAAAAACATCAAAATTGCCAGCCATATAAGAAAGTGAAGCCCAACAATTGTCATACCCATTTGTGTTCAGAAAACCAAGCCTCAGATGACCATGAAGTGGGCCAGGATTTGGTTCAACGTCCCCATCAGCACATAAATCACGCCACCACGTAGATTTTGTGAGTGGCGGCAGCGCCTTTCTAGAAAGATTGCCTCGGCGAAGAGCCACCTTGTCTAGTTCCAGCACATCATACCGACTCAAATTCCAACTTTGTATCCACTCAGCGATGTCGTCGGAATGATTTTTTCGAAGGAAAACCCATTGTTGCCTTTTCTTTTTCAAATGGCGCAACTTTTCGCCCTGACCTGGACAATGGCCATGGGTGAACTTTCTTTTGTTCACCGCGCTATCTTTACAAAATTATCTGGTTTGGTTCCTGAAACGCTTGTTGTGATGAAGCTCAACCCACACATGCTCTTTGCCATATTCCGTCAATGGAAGGGGTGCTTTGCCTGCACCAGGTCGACTCAGATCACGTTTTGCACATCTGTTTGCATTTTCTCCAAAGGAAATACGTTTTTTGCGAATGCACTTCTGCAAATGTTTGATGGCAGTGTTTCGCCGCGCAGTGTACTTCAAACCTAAAGGCAGTCCTAATTTACACTTGCTGCATGTCCAACCACGTAAATGCATTTGTATATCACTGACCTCGACAAAACTGGAAATCAAATGGCGCCGCTGGGAATCAAATGAGCTGGCACTTCAGGATGCCATTTTGCACGGTGTCTGTATCTAAACACTGCAATTTGCCTGGTGGTGCCTTGAAACGATTGCTGACACATGTTGCAAGTCCACGTACCTACTGCCGCTGGATCAACTTTACCATCGCGCCTTGGCGCGTGCAATCTGGGACCCGAAAGTTCTTCAATGGACTCAACAGGATCCTTGCTACTTCTACGTGACTTGGGACGTGAAGGAGCAGGGCCATCATGGAGAGAAGCAAAATCAGAAAGCTTAGGTGAGGCACATCTGGGTCGTTTCTTGGAAGACTTCTGCGACACAAAGTCACTGAGACAAATGCTTCTGGCCACACCACCGCGCAAACGTTTGAAACCTACCGCTGCTGGATCCACTTCTTCAGGTGAAAAAGTTCGCTTTTTGCGTAACCAATGGTTGCTGTCTGCATCCTTTGCAAACCCCCAGTGCCCACAGTGGTAATCAAAATAGAAACATGCCGTATCATGTGCTTCAGGGTTAATATCCCACGAAGTATGCACCAAAAACCCCATCTGCAAAGCTTCAGCTAGCACCTGGGCCTCAAGTTTTCCGGACCAAGTGCCCGGAACTGCAATTGAATCCACATATTCAAGAAAAGACATCTTGGTATCCTTTCCTTTGGAATCTGTTTCGTCCCATGTTTTCTCATAGGCTGGAGCCTTGTTTTTCATGGTGGCTACCGTGAAAGCACGAAGTTGTCTGTGAGAGCGTTTTTTCCCCGGTTCCTTTTCTGCCAGGCCTTGCACCGGTGCATGAAATAAACAATCTCCTTGTCCTGGATTATGCATCAAAATTCCACCTCTGTTCCATTTTTCTGGAAAGTTTTCATGGGAAACAACTGAGACTGGAGCTGGTCGCCTGGGGCTGCGTTCTCGGTGTGCTGGTTCGACAGGCGCAGAGTCCCTCGGGCCATTCCACTCCAAAATTGCTTCATCCTCTTCGTGATCCCACATTTCAGTTTCCTGTTCCTTGTCATTTGCAGCAATGCTTGGGGCCGCTGCCGGCCGGCTGTTCTGCCAAGAGTTTTCGGGTTGCGCAACGGAGTGCTCTTGGATTGGATTGCACGCGACGCGTCTTGACTGCACGCGGCATGACGACATCATAGCTGACGCCCTCCTCATCGACAACGCAAGACTGAATGATCTCTTCTCTGTCATCGCGTTTGGCATTGAAGGTCCAAACAATGTGTGTGTGCTCTTTTTGGATTTTTCCAAAATTTCGACTTCGTCAAAACCATTTTGATCCAAACATTGGCGCACATCATCAACATGTGCAACCTTAGGGAACCCCTCAAGAATCCATTTTCTGATCACAGCGGGACATGTGTCTGCCGGCACCTTGATGCCGAGCTGATGTCGTCCCCGTATGAGCCCTTGCTGATCTGCTTCTATCCGACATCGAGCGCCGTACTCCAACCAATTCTCTTGTCCATTCCGGGGTATCCACTGCATAGCCATTGGGGTCACATCAGGTGTGAGTCCCTCAATGAACCACCTGCTGCCAGCATGTTCTGTGCCCCTTGCGCGCAGCAGCGTCTCTGCAACTTCAGCGTTTGCAACTCGGACCATGCACTTGACACAAGCCTTGTCAATGAGGTTGAGTCCCCAAATGTCTTGAATGCTTTCCTGAGCCATAGCTGATTGTGCATGGCACCATGCACGTGCCTTTGCCCCGGCATTGGAAGTGTTCCAATATCTGCAATATTTCCGATCCAGAATCATTCTGAGAACCACCGAATTCTCAATGCGCTGTCGCAGATTGATGGTGGTGGTGTTCTTGGGCCGTGCAAGTTCGGTGCCATCATGACCAATGAAAAATAGCCATCCAGCACGTACTTGGAGCTTTTGCGAAATGTGACCTGCAACTCTACCCCAAATGGCGTTTTCCAACCACGTGGGAAATTCTTGCTGTTCTTTGATTTTAGCTCTGCCAGTCATAAAAATACTAGCTTTCATACCTGTACACCGTGCAAAATATCGGAGGCCTCTTGCGCAGCATGTTCGTCGTCAGCGTGAAACACCACATGCGAATCACCGTGATCAAGCATCTGGTCGTTCATGAGGTCAAGGTGATCAGACAAATCTACCACATCACAAAATATCCGAACTTTGCCAGGGTCGCCAAACTCTTGAGGACGTGGGCGCCATTTTACCTGATGCCATTCCTCACTGTGTTCCTTCTGCCATCGACTGCTTTGTTTCTTGTTGATGTGAGACTTGTGCCATGCATTGCCAGTGGTCGAGGGACCCTGACATTGATCAGGAGGAGGTTTTGAGGGCTCCCATGGTTGAGAGCGGAACTTGGAAGCTTTCCACCGCGAAGCTTTGGTTGCCGGGGCTTGAACTTGTGTCTGCCAAGCCTCTGCCTTTTGCAAAATGGTTCTCAAACCTGTCATCAAAGTGCCGTTGGATTGTTTTTTGGAAAGTAAAGACTCAAGCTTCCGCCTCAGCCACACTTCCCCGCGATCTTCCCATTCAGCGTTCTGATGTGATTCAAGCAGCTTCTGCAGGGCATCAGCCAGCCCACCGCCACCACCACGCAATCCCTGTCTGCGTTGATTGAGTTTGAGACGCAGACGTGACAAGGTACAAACTGAAGGACCAATACGTTTCTGCCTGTGCTTCCAGCAAACTCGACGCAGTCCACATTTTCTGCATTTCAATTTCCATTTGCATCTACCAATTGGATGAAGCAATGCCACCATAGCAAATGGGCATAAGCCGGTAAAAGCCACAAAAGCAAACATCAGGAACCCATGTGCAAGAAGGATTCGCACCAAAAGGAGATACCTAATAGTGACAAAGATCTGCGCAAAGAAGGGGATGCAAAGAAGGACAAACCGGAGCATCCCTTTCCACAAAGCCAAAGCATAGGATCTGATGTCAAAACGCATGAAAGATGCTAAGATTGCAGCACATTGGCAAACACATCTCAGCTGCAAATCCAGTACCTGTTTGAAGACCAAGCGAAAACGATGGCTAACCCACAGCAGCCGGATCAAGGGAACCATCAGGCTATAGAAGATGCCACACCCAAGCATCACCACTGAAAATGCAGCGCATCTGTAGAAACATCGCGGCTTCGTGAAAGCTGCGCATTCGAGACCGTTGTGCTGTTCCTCGGCGGTCACATGATCCATGTGCAATCTAAGAGTGGGCCATATGCCAAGGAAACGGCTGAATGGGATGGCTTTCTCTGTTCAGCCATAGCCGCTCTTTGTAATCTCTGGTCCTAGATCATCTAATTGCTGGGGCTTGCAAACCCGGATCATATCCGCTTCTTGGCGGGGGCAGTCCTGCATGGTGCTTATAACAAGCAAACAAGAGCAAGATGTACCTGCTGATGTCCTCCTTGGGTACCTCCGGGAAGAAATCCGTGTTGGTGGATCGATTGTTCTCGCAGGAGTGTTTGGTACGCGCCTCTATTTCCATCATTTGTAAGGGTTCCGTGGTGGTGTAGTTGCTCAACGGCTGCGCCTCTATCTCCATCATTTGTAAGGGTTCCGTGGTGGTGCAGTTGCGCACCAATCAAATCGGCCCATGGTGCAAGGAGTCTCCTCTGTGCAATCTCGAAACGGCCTATCCATGTACAGACTCGCGCTGGCCTCTTATATGCGCGAAACAACTCAAGGAACCGCCAAAGAAAAACATGATCTACGCCCTTCACGAAGAAAGGCTTCCAGGCGTCCTTGACATGGGCCAGGCCGCCATCCGTATCTCCGAGTAGGGCGGTATCGAGCAATGACTTGTAAAATGAGGCGGCTCCTATCGATGCATTCTTGAGAGAGGGGCCATGCATGTTCGCATCGAGAATCGTAATTCGGAGCCAGTCGTCTATGAGGTTTTCACATTCAAACCAGCTGGACCGACTTGCGGCGGCTCGGGGCTGAACCGTACTTACCGCGTAGGCGTCCGTTTCTTCATCGGTCTGGAGCTGAAGCTTTTGATTATGCGAATCCGCAGAATGGATTTTGCCTCGCTAGTCCATAATTCGGAACTGGGTCAAGAGCAACTGTCCGCGGATTGGATCTAACAGGGCACACAGCGCCGCTACCACTTTGAGGTAGCCATCCCCCGGTTTAGGAGCTTTGGACTCAAGCGAGAAAGCTATGAGCACTTCTGGTGGAACACCTTTTTCTGCAGCTATGCTAGCAGTCTTGAGGCTCGGAGTGGCACGGTGGTAGAAATGAATTAGGTGAACATGTCTGTACATGCACAGCACAACGGTACATGCATTGTGTAGACACCTCCGAAATAGATTCCAAGTGGGCGGAGGGGCATAATAACGTTCTGTCGACTATAGTTCCTTCCCAGGCTCTCTTTATGGTACGCTCTTAACTGTCTTTTGGCAATTTGCGCAACATCTTGATGCTACGCTTTCATCCTGCGCTGTTGACTGTCATTGGGCAATTTCTAGACCATCTTGGCGCTACGCTCTGAACCGTCACTTAGCAGTTTCTGCAAAATCTTGATACCACACTACACGCTGAAGTTTCTGAGCAATCTCCACAAAATCATGATGCTACACTCCTAACTTCTTCTTAGTCGCAAAATACCAGAAAGAAAACTGACCCGAAGACCATCACAGCGCCACAATTCTACAAGACACCACCTTAAAAGTGAACCGCTTTTTCGAAGCGGATATATTTACTTTGACCTGTGAACCGCTTTTTCGAAGCGGATAGATTTACTTTGACCTGTCAAAACGCAGTAGAAACAACAGAACGCGGGGGCAGAAGCTGAAAAAAGCATATGCCGACTTGAAAAACATGGTAAATAGCATGCATTTGTGACGATTCGAATACCAAAGACAATTTCATTGCAGGGGCGATTTTCCACCCTTCCGGATGTTTTGGCTTCGGTTTTGGGGGTAACTTTGAAACAGTTTCTTGCCCTGGGGTGCAGCCACCGAGGAGCGCATATCTTGGGCTCCCTTCATTTACTTTTAAAGTCAGTCCATGCCAGCTTGGACGCTTGGTCGTGCAATTGTTTCTTGACGCACGTGCCTTGTTGACAACCCTGAAGTGTACATCATGGTTCCTTCATCCCCCATGGTTGGTCCCATTCAACCTGTTTAAAATGCTTCCGGGGTGTCAGAAAGTTGCATTCTATACAAGGAGCGTTCCCCTTACTATCCCTGGTGAAGCCGTATAGAATGCATCATGCGGAGAATGAACGCATGAACTTGGAAGCTTCATCTTATAGAAGAAGTATTTGATAGGTTTTGCCGCCGGTAAGCTTATAGCAGAAGTATTTGATAGGTTTTGCCGCCAGTAAGCAGAACTTGCGGTTGGAGGATGAAGGGCACATTTTGTCTCAGATTTGGGCGGCCCTGAAAGAACATGCCCCCATGACCCGGGGGGAAGATTTTATATTGATGTTTGTGTCATTTGCGCGGGTTCTACTGGCTCACCCGGAAGATCGAGGAATGGTTTCAGAAGGGCATAAGCTGGCAACTGAAGGGCATAAGCTGGCAACCCCAAAGCACTTAAGTGAAGTTCAAGTCAGCAACCCCTGCTTTTTTGGGCAAGCGGCTTCCACAACAGTCCAACGATTGCACCATCATCCTCGAATAATTTCATTAGCAAGGTTTGTTCCCCATGCCACATGTTTTCACCAACAAGCCTCCAGTTTTGAAGCTTAATATTTCCGACTGGGTAGATCTCGACACCGTTTTGCTTGGCGGTTGCTTCTAGCTGTGCAGAACAGCAAAATTGAGCATTTAGGGCGAGTGAAAAGAAACTCCCCCCAGACATGCTCCACAGAATTCTTCTGCAATACTGCCCCTGCCACGCCGCAACCCTTCATCACATAGAGAATATAAGGGCGGTGCCAAAATGCAAAGGAAGGAGAGAAGGAAGGCAAACGAAAACAATCCGTGGGAAGGACGGGGGCGAGAAACAAGCAGAAAGACAGGAAGGGAAACACAGCGCTTGCCACACAAAACAGCCGCGGGTCAGAAGCAGGAAGGGCCGCGCCTGCCACCAGAAGGGATGTAACTGGAGACCAATGTGCCAGAAGGTGGGCACGGCATCCAACAGCAAGGCCAAGAAGGGAGAGAAGACAGGAGCCAATGAGAGACAAGCTGGCCGGGAGGCAGCACCACGGTCGCA